TTCTTCTGTGTGCAGAAGGCCTCCTTTCTCAGAGCCAGAGGATATGTATCATCCTACTCTTATGGTAGCCATTGAACTTAGTAACATTCAAACAGTACATACTTCATCTCAAAATAAGTCGCGTAAGCTAAACTTTAGAAAGACAAACGTAGATCTGCTGCGTTCTACATTATCCGATATAAATTGGTGTTTTTGAAGGTAATTTGGATTTTCGTATTTCAAGCTTTTATAAAATAATTAACAATGCATTAGAAACCTCAGTCCCACTTGTAAAAATGTGCTGTGATAGAGGTCCAGTTTAGTTTACCCCACAACTTAGGCGCTTACGTAACATAAAAAGCAGGTTATTTAAAAAAATAATTTTATCATAAACTTCACTAATTATACAAAAGCTAAAAGTTTATACAACACTAAAAATTGTAAATATTACTCTGAATACCTAGTCAAGATGAGAAACAGTCTCTATAAAAATCCTAAGAACTTTTATAAATTCGTTAATTCAAAAAGAAAAGTCCATGAATTTCCCTGTAGTATGCGTTTCGGTAGTAGAGAATCGTGTGAACCTAAGGAAATAGCAGACATGTTTGCAGATTTTTTCAAAGTACGTATTCCAGATATTCCACTAAGGGTGTAAAATACTCTTATAGTATTAATAAATTTAATCATGTTCCTCATATTATTCTCACATCAGATGAAGTGTTGAAAGGTCTACTTTCATTGAAATGTTCCAATTCACCGGGTCCAGATGGTGTACCGTCTTTCATTTTAAAAGCATGTGCACATGACCTACATATTCTCTAACAAGTATTTTTAATATTGGCGTTCGAGCTTTATTATTCCATTGCATAAAGCTGAGAGTAGATGTGCTATTGAAAATTATAGGGGCATTGCTAAGTGCAATTCCCAAACTTTTTGAGCGTTTGGTTACACAAAGAATAACTCATTTCGTTACATCTATAGTATCACCACACCAGCATGGTTTTGTTAAAGGAAGATCAACTTTGACAAATTTATTAGAACTGGTCTCTAATGTTCACACTGGATTCTCAAAAAATCTTCAAACTGATATTAAATATACTGATTTCAGTAAAGCTTTCGATACGATGGTGCATAATTTTTTAATATATAAACTTGACTTAATGGAGTGGATCTTTTAATAATACATCTCTTTAAAAATATTACAGTATTTTCTGGTGTTCCTCAGGGTAGCCATTTAGGTCCACTACTTTTTGTATTTTATTTAAATGACCTTCCATCTATTATTCGCAACTCAAAAATATTAATGTTTGCTGACGATGTAAAACTTTTTTGCACTCGTGATTCTCACCACGAATCGCCTAATCTGCAACAGGACTTGTATTCTCTTGCACATTGGTGTAGTGTCAATGAAGTCATTAAATTTAAAAAAAATGTAAAAAAAAATTGTCCTTATATAGATCTCAGCATATGAACTACAACTATTTCATAGGTTCTTACAAATTGGATAATGTTGACTCGTTTCTTGATCTTGGTCATATTAGACAATAAATTACGTTTTAATTTACATATTGAGTCTTGTGTTAATTAAGCAAAGTATTTACTAGGATTTAAAAAACGTTGGTCAAAGGAATTCGACGATCCTTATGTGACCAAACGCTTATTTATCAGCCTTGTTCGACCTACGTTAGAATATGGCTGCGTACTTTGGAGTCCTTTCTATAAAATATATTCAAAAAAGATAGAGTCTGTACAGGTTCAATTTCTTTTGTTTGGTCTGACAGGCTTAGGATGGAATTCAAATGAACTTCTCCCACCTTATGAGAATAGGCTTAAACTTATCGATCTTCCTACACTAGAGAAAAGGAGGTTAATGCTTAGATGTATTTTTATCATCAAACTTTTGCGTGGTCAAATTGATTCTGAGTTTTTAACTGGTGAAATAAAATTCAATGTCCCCTCGCGAAATACGCGTTATTATATACCACTTAAACTAACATTAGCAAAATCGAACTATGAAATAAATAATCCTCTCCGAAGTTTATGTGCTGATTATAATAAATTATATAACACGATTTCTTTGTGTGAACCCTTGTATGTCATAAAAAAACTCTATCCTACTTTCTTAGTTTATAAAATAGTTGCCAGACTTACTTTCTGTGATTTAGTATTTGTATTGTTTAGTTTTACTGTAGTTTAGTTCAGATACTTTAATTCTTTTTAATTGTTAAACCGACTGATGTTCTAATGTAGCCGGTTTCCCAAGTCTACTAACCCCCTATAATCCGGACTATGTGGTGTACGTGCTCCCTACGTTATGGGGAGGTGGCCCTCTCGGTCGGCAGGGGCGAGAAAGTGAGGCGTTGGGAACGATCGAAAAAAGAAACGTTCGCTGTCCCGCTGTTCAATAAGATCTGTATTTGTTGAAATACGAGAATGATGAATGAATGATTTAGTCGAAACTTTTTCATATCTTTGTTTCTAGACTCCCCGGCCTTCACAGATAATTATCCAATCGATAACATGGCATATTTTATAATGTCGGTGCATGTATTAAAATTGTATATACTGTGTTAACTGATGACGTCTGAGTCGAGACACTACATACCATATCATCCATCATAGTAAGCAGTAACTTCAATAGGTTTAACGGAGACCCTAGTAAAGTCTTTCGAGGAATGCGGTCCACTTCGAGAGAGGAAATCTGCCTACGAAAAACCCTGGGTGACAGGGGAAATTCGTAACAAAGGAAAGGAAGTCCGAAGACCTTACAACAGTGTAGTTAGAACAGCTAAACGAAACTCGTGGAATAAGTCTAACATCGTTCTTACTCAAAACCATGGAACGTACAAACGTACAATCGAAACCATGATTAAGAGCAGAATCGCAAACGATATGCTCAAATACGAACAGCATGCATACGTTAAAGGACGTTCAGTGGAAACCGCATTATATGAGGTTGTACACCACATCGAGAGTACCTCCGATAAGATGATGTATACACTAGCAGTATGCATTGACGTCGAAGGTGCGTTCAACAACGTCAGCATAAATACACTCATCCAATCCTTAGATAATTTTCAGGTCGACCGGGCCCTAAGGGACTGGATAAACCACATGCTAAGGAATAAATGGATAAGCTGTGGACTATATGACGTTAACATAAGGGACAAAGTTGTTCAAAGAACTCCACAGGGAGGGATATTATCACCCCTCCTGCGGGTTACAACCATTAACAGTCTTCTAAGGACTTTAACCAACGAAGGCTTTGAACCAGTCTGTTATGCAGACGACGTTATAATACTTCTGAGGGGAAACAGCCCTAACTTGCTGTGCAGAATGGCCGATTCGGCTCTGGAACTTGCATATAACTGGGCCAGACCGAAACGTTAACCCGGAAAAAACAGAGATATGTCTATTCAAGAAAAAGAAAACTGGGCCATATCGTTGAACCGGTCTTCATGAACAAGACAATCAACATTTCCAATAAGGTCAACTATCTTGGTGTGATTCTAGATAGGAAACTTAATTGGAGGGACCTAATCCAAGAAAGAGCAAACAAGGCTCATAGATGTTGGGCAACGTGTAAAAGGGCCATAGGCTCTAAATGGGGTTTCAATCCAAAGATGACACACTGGCTATTCAAAAGCGTAATTCGACCTGTTCTAACATACGCATCGGTAGTCTGGTGGACAGCTATGGATAAAAAATGTAATATCAAAATGCTACAGAAAGTCCAACGAATGTGCTGTTTAAGCATTTGCGCGCAATAAGGGACAACACCAACTAGGGCATTATAGACAATTCTATTTGTGCACCCAATAGAAATTCATATACAGTATGAAGCGGCCGTCGCGGCCTTAAGGCTCAGGGCGACGGACGAGTGGATAAACAAAGGCCACGCTACATACCATCAAACAATTTTACAGGTAACACCGGGAGAATCTATAGAAAATTTTGTATCGGACCGGGTATCTGAAACTTTTGTAGCTGCCTTACCTTACCTCCCTACCAAAGATTCGTGGATCGACGGATTCCTACCACAAATGCCGACTAGAATCTGTTGTTATATAGACGGCTCAAAGCTAGGGTAGACAGCGGGACTGGGATTTTTATTGAGGAAACAAATACCGAAATCTCTTTCCGCTTGCCCGATCACAATACGATCCTGCAAGCGGAGGTCCGCAGACTGTAAACTGTCCGCCTTCTTCAAAAAACCCTTAGTCTAGAGCGCACAACAGGCATATACTGGCTTAAGTGTATGCCCAACAGGGCATGCGGCGAATTGCTTCGCCCCTCCTTTCAACCTTACCTACCCAGAAGTGAATATCTCTGGACCCGAAAAAGGTATTAGCATAAATTGTAGTGTCAGCTATAATTTGGCATACATTTTGTAGCCCCTACTGAGCTCTCGATAATTTGATTAAAACTTCCGAACATCCTATAAATAATGGATAGGTGTTTTCGCAAGCTATTTAGTTGGCGTTACCCGGTGTGGGACATACCCAGAGAAGAAAATCCCAAGCGCTGAAGGCAGCCTACTTACGACAGCTTTTAAATTTAGAAAAAAACTTTAGTTTACGTAGCCTGCTGAACGTACCCAGAAGAGAATATCTCTGGACCCGAAAAAGGTATTAGCACAAATTGGTGCATTTTTGAAAGGTAAGAGTGTCAGCTATAATTTGGCATAAGTTTTGTTGACCCCCACAATGAGCTCTCGATACAAATATATAACTTCCGAACCACTTATAAATAATGGATAGGCATTTTCATAAGCTTTCGAACGAAACCTATAATGTCTATATCGGATAAATGCATACGGGTCCAGCCCGGGTCTTGAACACGGACTTTCGGGTCAAAACTCTGGGGTCCCGGTCCACCCCAAGAGAAAAAACAGCTTCCCGGAATCAGGGTAAAAATACCTACCTCTGGAAAAAAATTCGAAAAATGGAAGTTTTTACTGAACTAGAGTTGTTCCAATAAAATAAATTTAAAAGAAGGCACCATAACATAAAAATAAATACCTCTTTAACAATATCCAACTCGTTCAATAAATCTATGATTCTGTCCAATATATTTGAGTCCTCTACTAGGTTTTGCGAAAATAATGAAACCAGTTGTACTAATTTTTTTGGAGATTCCGGAACCCATGAGACTCCACTTGTTATTTGAAACAGATCGCGAATAGAATTAGCTACCGCCTTTCGTCCATCATAGTATAATAGCACGGCTACCAAGCCACGGGGAAGTCCAGGATAATGTACCATTTGATGTTGGGCAGTGCACAATAGTTCCAGTGCCAAAAACTCATCTAAATCAAACATATCGGATATAATAATACTTTCTTCAATAAGTTCCGTAGATACAGGAAAAGCTCTGCTATTTCCACTAAAAGGAACACCTTGAGTAGCACAAGCTCGAAGCTGTGACCTATTTGCTTCATTCTTAGGCTGAAAATACAACCTCAATTGATGAAACAATAAAACGTTTAACTTGAAATACTTACGGGATTTCGCAAGAGATTTACGAAAACTTGTTTATGGCGCTTAAGACACACTTCCAAACTTGAAATAGCTGATTCGTTTGGATTTATGACAGTCTGCTCTATAACTCTATAGAGATGCTTAAAAGGAGACCACATGTCATCAGGGATATCTGAAAAAATACATTTCTCAACGTGCTGTATATAAAATATTTTTGCGAGCAGTTTACCCTCCATTTTTACAACACAATAAATGCCAAAATCGCAAAAACACGCCGCCAATAAATATTTTTAACCTGGTGTTACCATATTGACCTTCATCTAAACAGTTTCACAATCGGAAATTATCGATAATTTTTCCATAAGCAGCGTTGCCATTTGCTTTGCTTTTACAGAAGACAAGAGAACTTAAGGTGAGGGTACAAAGCAGCTTCGCATCATGGCTAGGCATATTCATTTCAAATTATAAAGGGACACGGCGGCAGAATTCTAATACGGCTCTGGCATACCTTTATAATATGTCACAATATGCCATGCGAAGACTTCAAGCTATGTTTATGTGCTTACACCTTGAGCTCTCGCAGGGCATAACTACAAAAGGTAGAACAAAGCTGCCCCCTAAATCAGCGCTGCTCAAGAAAAAATATCTCTTTCAAGTCAAATTTCTCTTTGCTTATTTAAATCAAGAACAAAACTGTGTTCCGTCATTATTTATACAAATATTTTTTATCTGTTTGCTTTATAAATTATTTTAGCAAACATTCATGTTTAAAAACAGTTAAATGAATCGTAAAATATGAAGAAAAAACAGAGTTTTAATTTTCTCTTAAATTATCTCTTTTTTCGGCTCATGTTCTAGAATACGGTTTTGAGCAGGTCTGCCCAAAATACAATTTGTATACCCTCCACCTTGGAAAGAAGTGTATATTAACTTTGTCATTCCGTTTGTATCATCCTCAAATATTGGTCGTAACGCTCATAAGGTATATATGTATTCATAACCATCATAAAATTCTAAGTCGATTTAACGATGTCCCTCTATCGGTTGAAATCACGATACAGCCCACATTATTTGACGTAGAAAATGTAGCAAAACAATTTGTATTGTGGCTAGGATGGTTGGTATTGAAAATGATAAATGATTGATATATCGGTCCACGTTTTGGTATAGTCCCCATATAACGGGGACTGACATGGCCAAAATCTTATATTTACGTACAACAGAATAAAAACAGCCTATAACTATATTAATCAAAAAAAAAAAAAAAAAAAAAAAAAACGAAAGAAATAACAAAAATTATATATATATATATATATATATATATATATATATATATATATATATATATATATATATATATATATATATATATATGCATGTATGCAAAATTTTAGCCTTCTATCTTTGGAACAAATTGAGATAGAAGGCTAAAATTTTGCATACATGCATAGTTTACAAGTAGGCAAGTTAAGTTCGTAAATGGGCCATGTCGGTCCACGTTTTCGTCTAGCCCCCACATAACGGTACATCCCGATATTCGCTATTTTCGTGATTTAACGAAATTATTTAAAATTTCGTATTTAAGTTCGTAATGGGTACTACAGCCTATGAAAAAAATTATTGTATGCAGGTCCATATCTTCGCATAGCCCCCATATAACGGTACCTCCCGATATGCGTTATTTTGATGATTTCAGCAACATTACTCCGCGGAATCGTTTCAAATTTCGTACTGGGAAATCCTAATGGGTACTACAACCTATGGGAAAATAATTGTATGCAGGTTCAGATCTTCGTATACCCCCATATAACCGTACCTCCCGATATTCGGTATTGTCATGATTTCAGCGACACTATTTTCCGGAATTATTTCGAATTTCGTATTTGAAGTTCGTAACGGGTACTACAGCCTAGGAAAAGAATTTTAAATGCAGGTCCACGTCCTCGTATAGCCCCCAAATAACGGTACCTCCAGATAGTCGGCATTTTGACAATTTCAGCAACACTATTTACCGGAATCGTTTCAACTTTCGTATTGACAATTTTTAGACAAAGAAATGTGGCAATAATCATCAAAATACCTAATATCTGGAGGTACCGTTATATGGGAGCTATACCAAAACGTGGACCTATACATAGAATGTTTAGCAACCGCAGCCAGAAACCATTATGACCAACAAATATCAATTTTTAGACAAATACCAATTTTTAGACAAATCCGTGAAAAAATGTAGCAAAAATCGTAAAAATAACAAAAATGGGGAAGTACCGTTATAAGGGGGCTATATCCCATACATACAATATTTCGCCACACGAACTAGGTCCCATTATCATCTACAAATACCAATTTTCAGACAAATCCGTGAAAAAATATTGCAAAAATCATCACCTGTGATCAGGGATACTCAATTTTTATGGCATGTCTCTTCATGCTTCCATGGTAAATTTATGTATGGTCACTAGTATTGTCAAAGTGTGCGACCGTTTAGATATAATCATAAGGTTAATGAGTTGAAATGTCTGCTTGTTGGTAGTGGTATTGATGTTTTTGCAGTGACTGAATCTTGGCTTAAACCTGCGGTGTCTTCGAGGTCGTTGAGGGTTCCGGGGTACAAGGTTCAGCGTAATGACAGTGTTGGCCGCGTTGGTGATGCTATAGGTACGTGATATCGGAGAGTTCGGAGAGTTATGGTGTTTGTAAGTCTTTGACTTTTGCTGGTCTCTGAAGCCTTGATTGTGAATTTTTCCTTGCAGGTTGGTTATGAATTTTTCCTTGCTGGTACTTCTCAAAATGCGTTGATTTTTAGAGGGGTTGAACTCCCGGTTCATGCCGAAGAGAAGGTTATTGAGTTTCTGGATATTCGTAGGACTGACTAGCGTGGTATGGAAGACCATGTTTGTAATTTTGATTTTAGTCCTCTGTATCTTACGAATGATGTTGACCAGCAGTTGGCGTTGTTTGATTTATTGTTCCAAAATTTGTTGTCTTTTGTACCTACTGCTACCACCTGTTTTCGCCCATGCGTAATGAAAGAAGAATATTTTATAAGGAAACGTTTGGCCGTATGAGTAGTGTGCAGATATGGAAGTCGTTAAGGTGGAAATACATAAAGCGCTTATCTGGACGGCTTAAATCATCTGCTGGCTTCTTCGGAAACGAACAAAGAAGCCTGGGGCCAAAATCGAATTAAGTCAACCTAAAACTCCCTTGTCCATCTACGAAGAAGCCAGCCAAATATGTGCTTTATGTATTTCGACCCTTAAAGTCGTTTGGTTGTCTTGATGATGGTTGTGATGTCCCATTTGTTGATGTCAATTCTGTTAATAATTACTTTGGTAGTGTTGATAATTTCGATTCGGGATTTTGTGGATAGTGAGGCCATTTTGATTCTTGTAGATTTGACTGTGTGTACATGGATGATTGGTTTCCCGCTTTGAGGTTATCTGTCCCGCTGTCCCCAGCGAGAGCAAAAATGTCCCGCTTTCGAAAATACTGGATATTGATATTGATGAAAAATACATGAGTTATTTTTTTTCCCCGTGAACATATAATTTATTTGCATAGTTTTTTTCAAGCAACATTAACATTAAAATTAACTCGAAAGATTTTGTAATGCTAATGCTGGAGTTAATGTCGACGTCGTCGACGGCGTCAAATGTCAAAAAAATTGAATCGTATGAAATTCTATGAGAGCAGTTAATCTTAACGCCGTAAGAAATTCGACGCCGAAAAAGTTCAATCTGTTTCAACTTTTTCGGCGTCGTCGACGGCGTTGACATTAACTCCAGCATAACAAGGGAAATCACCAAATTAAAAATGCTTATAAAAACAGAAAAAGTTTCTGTCACTCTGTCAGTACCCTAAGCATAGACGCTCTAAATTGTTCTGGTATCTTTTCATCGCGGAGTCGGAGAAGGCGAGCAAAGTCAAACAATTTATTTTCAATGTTAGTGATTGTAACATTACAATAATGCCTAAACTTTTAACATTTCTTTGCAAAATAAGTATCCATTTATAAAACAAAGAAGTGGTGAATCAGACGTTACGTGTGAAAAATGTCGTACTGATTTTAGTGTTGGACATGGTGGTGCCAGTGACATTGAGAAGCATTTAAAATCGGAAAAACACAAGCTTTCTGATCAAGCTGCCGCTTCAAGCTCGTCAATGCTTTCTTTTTTTAAAAGAACAAATTTGGCGACTTCCAAAGACTTGGATATAGCTGCAGCGGAGGGTGCGTGGGCGTACCACACAGTGCAAGAAAACCACAGTATTCGTTCGAATGACTGTGCTTCAAATCTAATACAAACATGTTTTGAGCAAAAATTTAGATGTGCCCGTACAAAATCACAAGCTATAGTTGTAAATGTGCTGGCACCTATGGCGATGGACGAATTGAAAGAACACCTTCACGAAGCCCACTGCATATCTTTATTAACCGATGCTTCCAATCATGGCTCAATAAAATTATTCCCTGTTTTAGTTCGCTATTTTGTACCATACGAAGGCGTGAGAGTCAGGATTTTAGAGTTTCAAAAGCAGACAGGCGAATCATCCGATATAATTGTGGATTATTTGAAAGAAGTATTATCTTGCAATGATTTGAATAAGAAAATTGTGGCATTTTGTGCAGACAATACAAACTGCAATTTCGGAGGAAAGAATAGAAAAGGGATAAATAATGTTTACGCGAAATTGAACCTATCCGTCGGAAGGCAGCTCATTGGGATTGTGTGTGGAGCCCATATAATTCATAATGCTATCAAAACAGCCGCAGATTGTCTCCCTGTTGACTTCGAATGCATCATTGTGAAAATTTATTCATTCTTCTACATCTACAGCATTCGGGTAGAAGTTCTGAAACAGTTCTGTGATTCCACCGACACAGAGTATCAGAAACTGTTGGGCTACAGTCAAATAAGGTGGCTTGCTTTAATGCCGGCGCTTGAGAGAATTTTAAAAATGTTTCAGCCTTTGAAAACCTATTTTCTGAGCATAGATAAATGCCCTACTATTTTAAAAACGTTTTTCGAAAATCCCAACTCTGAATTGTGGTTATATTTTTTGCACGCACAGACATCGATTTTTCATCAAGCCGTGTTGAAAATCGAGGGACAAAACGTGTCCACAATAGAGTCTGCGAATGAAATTAATCGTCTCCGAGATAACTTAGAACTTAAAGAGAATTCGATTTTCCTTCCTCATTCCGTCCGCAATCTACTGGTAAAATTACAAAAAACTGACGTTGCTGTTGATGAGCAGAATGTGAAAACTGCGGCAGCGGATTTTTATAAGACAAGTAAAGAATACTTGGAACAGTGGTGCCAGTTCAATGCACAACTAGCAGTATTTGAATGGTCAAATTTGAGAAAAGTCCCTAC